CACCTCTCCATGTTAAAGTATTTATGTCGAGTCATTAATTAGATCATACACTTGTCTCTTCACCTATTTGCACAGACCTTCCCTAATAACCACGGGCCTCTTTAAGGCCTTAAAAGACGATTAAACTTTTCTGTCATTACAGACTATGCTATCGCGGTCTTCCACGATGTTCTTCGGAAAGGCCAGTACCAATGCTACCTCAAGCCAGATACGAGACTACCAATGATGCACGTGAGAGACGCCCTTCGAGCTCTCGCAGAATATTTGGAGGCTCCTAATGAAGTACTAAATAGAAGAGTGTACAACGTAACTTCAATGAGTTTCACTCCAGAAGAATTGACAGAAGCAATGAGCAAACATATCCCCGAGTTCAAGATCACTTATATGCCTGATAGCAGGCAGGAAATCGGTAAGTAAATAACGCTAGATGTTTCGATAGACAAGGAGATTTCAATGTTAATTGCGCTACAACAAGGTTAAAATGACTTTATAATAAGCATTTTGTAAACAGTCGTTGTTTAATTTTCTTTATAAAAGGATAGCTGTTGGAAAAACCTACGTTTTAAAAATATGCATTAGTTAGGTGTTAGGAGAAGTCTAGAACCTGACAGCTATTTTTGACTTGTTATCCTTTTTGGCTTTTACTCATCACAAGCTTTGAAGATCAATTAAAGTATAGGTAAATGTTTAGATTTAGACTCATTTCTGAACTCCTGTACCTTACCTTATTGAGATTGCAAACAATAAATTGGATACTTGCCAGCTAGTCAAATTCAATACTTTTTGAAACTGTCAAAAACGGCAGTTTTCTATGAATTTTGTACGAGATTGTGTATTGTGACGTCACGTTTTTCAGCGTCAAACAGTATACTTATTTCTTTAAAAAATTGCTGGAAAAATACTAAATTTAATTTGTCATAAAACCAATTAATGAAATTGTGATTATTTTTTAATATTTTATTGTATAGAACAGTCAAAATAATTTATTTTTGATGAAGGCAAGACCAAATTATGTACAGATCCAATTATTGTTTACATAGACATAATGTAAATGAAACTTTTTTTGTTTTCAGCTGATTCCTGGCCGCAAGTTTTCGACGACAGCGAGGCTCGGAGGGATTGGAACTGGAAACCAGAGGTCGACTTGGAAGACCTTGTGAAGCTGATGGTGAAAGAAGTCAAAGAAAAAATTGCTGCCAATGGACTATCATAGTGACAAAAAAATAATTTTAATTGTTTAAAAGTACACCATGCTTGCAGACTTGTTTGTGGATAGTGTTTCGCTTTGCTATTAAATTGACATAAAACAATGCCGTCCAGTTGGTGCATTTAATTATTTTTCAAATGTAAATTAATTTTAAAATAAATGAATTCTAAATTTTAATGTTACGTTTATTGTTTTATAGAAAACTCATATATTTTATCTCAGGCTGATCAACATTGTATCTATTGGCTAGGTCAGATACTTACATGATCTAGGTTTTACTAAAACCAGTTGTTATGACATTGGCTGAAGTAAAGGTTGCACAGAATGAATGTTTTAATATACCTAACTTTTTGAACGACTTTGTAGAGGTATTATAAATGTTTGTTCAATGTCACGTTTTTTGTATATCGAGTGACCAATTCTTGAGGTAGGTTATATTATGACTAGTTTTTGCGTCTATAAAACTCTTGTAACTCAAAAGGCTTACGTCTAAATTGAAAGAGCCCCTTTTTTTTAAGGGGGGAAAATCGTCGAATGGCTTCTCCCGCCTAGGTGAGGCGGGAGTTTCAGAGTTTCTCTTGCTGACTAAAAACCACCCCGTTCCTTCACGTCGAGCCGAACCCGGGTAACCCGTTAGTTTCTCCGCGACTCCGAATCGGCATCGGCCCTGTTGAGCCCCATCTCTCGTGGTCTGATGGCTCTTTGAGGCGCGCACGGAACGCGAAGCGCCGTACGCTCGGGTGAAAGAGCCCTTACATTCGACTTTTCCATTTCCTCAATTAGAATAGCGTCAATACCGTTGTCTAGAGGACAGGCAGAAAATAAATAAAAGATTTAAAATATTGATCAATTCCTTTATTTAAGCATAAAACAAAATAAAAATCACCTTTGCTTAAAAGGAATAATAAAAACAGTGTTAAGCATGTACATGTTTGCTACCTACAGATACATAATAATTAAAGAGAAAAAAACACCCCCGCCATAAGTCGACATTACTTGATATTGACAGCTACTAGAATTTACAAAGTGATGTTTACAAGGAAAAATGCAAAAAAAAATTGTGGAAACTTATGACGGTGGTATAGAATGTCAAGAGGATGAAACTTAAAAATAAAATGACTTCCAATTCACACTATACACAACTCAGTCTTCGTTACGTTACTCATCGGCAACACGGTCGCTTATATTACACCTATGTCAATATTCACTAGATATGGACGTAACTTTACTATAGGCAGAACGTTCATTTCCTTGCTCACATATCAATGTTGCCGCGTAATTATTATGAGATGTATGCATACAGTTAAAACTCTATTCTACTAACAATTTTTAATTCTAGCTAGGTATAGTGGTGTTTCTGTGATTTTAGGACATTATCTATTTTCTAATTTTTCAAAATACTTATAGTAATTCTACGAGAAATAATTTAACAATGCCATTCCACCTTATACATCTAAGTGTTATTATTTATGTATTACTAGCGCAAAAATGATGATAATAATACAGATATATAAAAAAATCAAATTTCTAGCCGAATCTAGCAAACTTAATTTTATTGCACCTTCTGTTTACTATAATAATTATCACAAATCGTATATTATAGTCATTGTGAATGTTTGTTAATGGCACTTACTTCGTCTTGCGTCGGGAAACGAGTATATGTAATTTAGGACATTGAATATTGACAGAAACTGCATCAATTGCCGTTACTTAAGCTACAATAGTGAAAGCTAGTACAAGTTAATTTATCTCTTAATTAAGTATTATTTATTATCTGTACTAAAACTTATTAAAATCTATGGCAAGTACTCATAACCGCCACTGAGTCAGACAAAGAAACATTCACAACAACAATGAAATTCGGTTATACTTTTTAAAAAACAAATTGGTAACATCTATACATAAATATATTGTACACATTAATTAAAACAAAACGTACGTTGTTTAATAACCTCCCCAAATAACTATACACAAACCACCACTTTATTATGACTGATGAATTCATACGACATGTGATACTGATTGGCTGTAAAAATGTTAGCCAACCAATCGCCTTAATTTATTAGAATTGACCACAGATGAAAAAGTCACCTGTCAAAACTAAATGATCTATGGTACACTATCTGACGCCATATTTATATTATATGGCAACTTATTTATAAAATAGAATAAAAAAAACAAATACAGAAGAAGAAATGCAATACACAGGTGGTATGAACGAAGCAAATTAGTTAAGTACATAAGTTACATATAAAAAAATGCAATTAGATACAAAACACGGAATAATTATATTGAGTAAATACAATAAAACGAACACCGAGGATATCGGATAGACAATGGCATTAATACAATAGGTTTTCATATTTTTGTATTTTGAATTATTATATTCTTTATTAGTTAAAATTGTGACGCATTTGTTGAACATAGCCTTATAGATTAGATTGTTAATAAAAGAAAATTGTTTGAGTGACTCTGCTTTGTAGAGGGAGCTAATTTCAGTAAGCTAATTTTAGCTACAACAAGACCTTGTTGTAACAGCTTATTATTGACCAATAAACAGGTCTCACTAGTGCCAACTGATTAACACAAAATTAACGTGGTTCTATGTGGTGCAACCAGGGGCGCTCCTTAGGTTACTATGACGGGGTTTATGAGGGGCTTACCTCATAGATCCCTAATTTCTTTTGGCGCCAAGGTCACCCTATGTGTCTCGCGGCGTCGCGGCGTCTCTCTGTAACCCGGCGCCCTAAGCACTTTAGGCCTAATTTACCTTAGGGATAATAGGGCACTGGGGTCAACATGTCATTTGCAGGGTTTTAGGGGCATAAGTGAAGAAGTTAAGTCCAGCTTAGGCACTTCAACTTTACAATTCGGTTTTAATATCGAACAGATTGTAATGGGCCATCTCGATCCTTCTAACATTTCAATGTTTATCTTATTATTGTCGTCAATAGAAACTTTTCTGTTAAGTATTTTTGTTTAAGGACATACCTAGAAATATGTTCTTGCATCTACCTTTATCTAGATCTATTAAGTTCATATCTAGCCGTGACTACTACTAAGACAACTTGTTAATAATTCTGAAAAGTTTTAAAATCTCTAATATTTTTACGAATGTGTCAATGTTTCGCACCAAATTTGACAAATCAAATTATTTTTTTAAAAAAAAGCTCAGTGCATTTTAATCTTCCCTTTGTAAGTGAACCCGACTGAATTATCTTTTCTTAGGAAATTTTGATATACTTAAATCAAATCAAAATTATAAGAGCATTAAAAAGACACATTCGTTGTTAAGACAGAATATTTCAATCCCGCCTTTATTAAGAAATATATATTCCTATCTACTCCAAGTTACACGCAAAAGTTTGCGTGAAGAAAAAATTGCGTGGTACGTAATTTTTTTCGCTATACTGGCTTTCCAATTTATTACTCAACCCTAAAGCACAATGGGGCTTACGTAAATTTCAGTAAATTAAATTGTTCACACATTACATAACAGCATATTCGTCTCTAATAATTTGACATTTAACGTAATAACTTCCTCATTCAGTCACCTGGAGCCAAAATTAGAGAAAAAAAAACTTTATTTCTACGTGATTGTGACGTCATATAAATGCTTAGAATTTCTTTGTAAGCTGTTATTGTGGTTACCGGCCGATTTTTTTTTTTAAACGTTGCCCCACATTCGGATTTTTTCCTGTGTCGTGGGTGCATTTACAAACATACAAGTTCACATACACAATGACACCCAGACCCGTAACAACAATTTGTGGATCACACAAAGTGTTGTTCCGTGCGGGAATCGAACTCGCGACACGTTGCACGGCAGCCGGTTGCCCAGCCACCGCATCAACCGTGCAGTCAGTCAATCAATATGGTCACATAAAGTATGTAAACATCGATAAGTTTTCTATGGTTGGTATTGGTAGCAGGTTCGTCTATAGAGCAATATTTTTGACATTTTGTTAATGGCAAGCCATAGGCGAATAGCCTTTTGACAGTATGTCATTTTTTTATGTTTTCCAAAAATCTTATGCGTTGTTTTTTATTTAAGCGGCAAGCATAATTGGTTCAAATTTTCAAAAACGTATAAATTTTTGACCGAAACTCTGTTAATTGAAATATAATATCATCAAATGTAGGTAATAATACTAAAAATTAACTTAGTATTTCTAATAAGTAGTAATTACAGTTTCCAAAATTAAGCGACGATTATCTTCCACAAAAGATCACAAATGGCAAGGCAAAATAAAACTAATAATTAGTTAAAAATATTAACGAGACCTTGTAACAACTTTAAATCAATGGATATTTGTGGAATTACTTTAATAGAGTTTTTAGAGAGGAAATGTACGAGGAATACGAAAAGCTAAACAAAAAAAAAATCGCGGATTTATAATTTTAATCAAGGTGAAATATTCAATTGAATCCTTTACGTGCTTCTTCAACCGTGAAGTATATAATAAATTTTTAACATGTAATTTTATTTCAAGCACTAACAAAACGTAGGTACGACGCACGCGCTATGGAACTAAAGTCGCCATTTTAAAAACTTTTCAATAAAATATTTACATTTAACCGTCTCGATTGTTGTTTGCCGCACATAGTCCCGATTCGTTTAAAAAATAGTTAATTATAAATAAAATCACTGCGTCATCTGTCTAAAAATTAGATTATCGTATTCCGTCATAATGCTAGCAAAAATATTTTGATTTATCGATACCTAGGTAATTGACTCGATCGATTACTCTGCCTTCACGTGCTGTCGTTGTTCCCTGTTCATGTTCATTTCTTTCAAGCGTTGTCTTAGCTGTGCCTTCTTTAGGTTTGTCATGATCTGCGTAGATTGGTATAGCCAGGAGCCCTGGAACATTTACATATGACTTTAAATCATTGTTATGAACAAACAAAAATATTTCCCGAAAATATGTACCTATTCGAAATCCGTGTCGATTGTAATTTATTCACTAGATTTAATAAATAAGGTAGGTACCCACTTAAGTAGCGATATAAATGCTTGCACATTATAATAAAAATGTACAGTAAGTGAATATCGATGATTATTTTTCTACGCAAAGAACATTAGTAGTCGTAGTAGCCAGTATAGCATGGGATCTAAATGGGCTTACGAAATTCGATAGCTGTATCGAGAAGACAATACCTATGTATTGTCTTCTCGTGTTTAATAGTATATGGTTAATAGTGTCTATACACTATTAAACTGTCAAACACCAAGCGGTCACCGGTGACCGCAACCTATTGTTCTATAATTGTGTCTACAAAACCGGTACTCGACGAGTTAACCATATAGCGTGGGAGAGCCATACTTCGGCACGAATGGGCCGGTTCGACCGGAGTGATACCACGGCATCACTGAAAACCGACGTGAAGCAACGCTTGCGTTGTGTTTCGTCGTGTGAGTGAGGTTACCGGGGGCCCAATTACCCTCCCTTTCCCCAATCTCCCCAATTCCTGAATCCCCAAAGATCCTCAAACTCCAAATCCCCAAAAGGCCGGTAACGCACTTGTAACGACTCTGGTGTTCCAGGTGTTCATGGGCGACGTCGATTGCTTACCATCAGGTGATCCGTCTGCACGTTTACCGGTTTAAGCCATAAAAAATAGTCCACCGCATTAATCAAAATAATAACAATCACAATCAAAAACTAAATCAATTACGATAACATCTATTCTACATCATACGATATCTTATCAACTTACCACCATTATCATGCAGTTTAGCAGTATAGGGATGGAGAACACGACTGATATAAACAATCCTTTACTATCGAAGTACTGCTGCCTAGAGAACAAGGTCCAGTTTCGCGCAGCAACCTCGTTGATGTTCTCCGAGAAATATACTAGCAACACTGAAATAGAAAATAAAGATGAAATTATAATAAGTACATACTTAGAATAATCGTAAAATGATATTAATTTTTAATCGCTTTTATTTTCTTTCTACTACAATCAGTAGTAGTACCAAACAGAGATTAAACCTAAAGAGCGACCTAGGTAAGCATCTCATATTTTTTTGGCGCCGCTACTCTTCTATGGACAGTTGAGTACTCGCGTCTCGCGGTGCGCATCTGTAACCTAGCGCCTCAGGCACTGTCCTATTTGCCTTAGGGATATTACGGCTCTGGTAACAAACATTACGGACTGCCTGATAATAAGGCACACGAGGATTGTCTGATCTATTCTATCTTTTTTGGATTTTTCATGGATACGCTTTGTCTAGACAATGAGCGTCCGACATCAGGTTATGTCGCACTCTTATCGACTAAAACCACACACTCAATCCCAAAAAATAACGAGAGTCACTGGGTACTCGAATGAACGAACTCACCTGCGACACTCAAATTATGTTACTACCTTCTATATTTTCGGAGTTCAATTCTACGGCGATTCCTTTGTCTCCGAGTTGGGTCTATCTTTTCTATCTATGCTACTAAATTGATAACTGAGTGTCTGCGTGCAGCAAAATAAAAAAACTTGGTTTGAAATAAAAAGTAGGCAAGCTCACTTTCAAGTATTGAACATTCTGATTAATTAAGAGAAAAATGTATGATTTATTAAAACCGCAGATTGAATATATAGTAAATTAATAAAGTAGGTGTCTATATGTTACAAGACACATTAAATAAATTAGATTTATCAGCTTACTTACGCAAAATCAGAAACGGTAAGCGGGATTATGAGCCCCTGACCAGCTTGAAACGAGACGAGTAATTTTCAGTAAATAATGCCGGAATACTGAAACGTTACTCAATTTTAAGTCGTGCTTAAATATCATGCCATCTCTGTCATTTTACAAAGAATTAGTAGTGACAGAACTATACTTAAGCGTGACTTAAAATTGAGTAACGTTTCAGTATTCGGGCATAAGCCGTTTTACTTAATTTTAACTTTAAATCCTAAAGATTCCTTCTATTAAGGGACAGCTGCTGACAGCCAGCCATTTTATATACCTCTAGGTACTGTGTTGCTTGACTTCTCCAACGTCAATAACGCCAAGCACAGCCGTGCCATTACAGTGTACCACGACCTTTAGTCTTGTTTTTATTCGTTTTAACTACGATATAATAATAAAGTTTCAGAATACGTAAAAGAAATAACTTTCACTATTTTGACGCAGTGCCAAATTGATGCAGAGGCGCTTTCTGTGGTACCGCGATTTCTTGTCACACGACAGACATAGACTCACTATGAATGACGTAGGATGTAGACACACGTAAACATGTATCTACCTGTCATGCCAAATACATCCTTATTTATTTATGAATGGACGTCTATAGGGTACAAAGTTGCAGTAGTCGAAAAGCTATAAAAGAAAGAGTTTTTCGCCAGGATAACAATTATATATCATACGCGAAAATAACATGTGGGTGCAAATCTAAAAAGTATAAATACAGCGAGAAACAAGCTTGTTTTGAAACGAAAACGTTTATCTATTTGTAAAGGGTGACCTCCAAAGAAATTATAGGCTAGGTAGTAGGTATAAATGGAGTCATTTTCTTGTTTATATGACAGTTATAAAGTGGTATCGTGATACACCTAATAGGTACTTTGTATCAGTCCCCTGGACGTCAAGACAAATGATAGTTGGGGCGGACCGTAACTGAATTACGGATCTTGGACTCCCTAGTCAAGTTTCCAGGGAGAGATTATTGTAGCCATTAAAAACGATGCAATGAGGTTTGCCAGTTTGAAACATCGTGCGTAATAAATATTAAGCGCTTCAGCCGTCCCAATTAAACTGTTTAGTAAGAACCGTATTCGTTTTAGTCACGATGCGAGCTAAATGTAAACCAAAAAAAAGTAACACAACATAACATCACGCCTTTTATCCCCGAAGGGGTAGGCCGAGGTGCACATTATACCACTGAACAATGTTACACCCACTTTTGACTATTTATGTTATGAGTCCCGTGTAATAGGGGGTGAGCATATTGCCATATATACCGGGCACAATTCCAGACTCCGTGCTACTAATGAGAATATTTAAAAACCCACTAATACTTTGCCCGACCCGGGAATCGAACCCAAGACCTCTTGCCCGGCAGTCGCACTTACGACTACTCGGATAACGAGGCAGTCACCAAAAAACCAAAAAAGTACTCACATAATATTATGAACAATATCACTTGAAAGTTTCCATAGTTCCTAGTTGAGAAGCATGTGAAGGTAATAATGATGTGGAACGATATCAACGCTATTAACCATGGGTCGCGCCATTCAATCTGAAATTAAAATTAAATGAACATTAGTTGATAAATTCTATGAAAAAATATCATTATTAGTTTTAAATACAACATTTAGGTACTGCTGAAAAGGGCAGCCTTCCTGAGGTTTGCTATCACAACACTTGAGACTTTGAAAGCCTGGCCCAGTTAGTTCAGCGAATTTTTGGATTACCCATCTTTCAGTAGCTGTATAACTGATGAGTGATGACAGTTTAAAGACATACCCAGTTCCATGTCTCAACAAAACATCAAAAACGAATAATTGTAAGGTTTCTAATCACAGCTCAGACGGGAGACCAAACAAATATTCGAATGTAATTCAAATTGGCGTAAAGCTGAGCAAATGTATAAATGTAACATATACTTTCCGTGTTGTTCGGAAGCCGTATATTTTAAACGACAAATGTAGAAATGTAGGCTGAATAGATATTAGATATAGACAGATAGGCACCTCTGTATTCTAAGGGCAAATAAGAAATATAAATATAGAGTAATAAGGCCTACTTTACAACTGAATAAAAAATAACAGAAATTAGCGATTAGCTACCAATTTCGGAATAAGTAGACTGTTATACTGTTACAATATTTCGTTCAGTGAAACTAATCTAGATACTATCACAGAACTTTCTAGATAATTAAATATTATTAATACTATGTATTATTATTACCTACCTACGTGAGCATTTTGTTTTGAAAAAACAAACAAATACTCAACGGCATACAACGTTTTATCGGTCAAGGTTAATAAAATCGATTAAGATTGCTTTTATTTAATTTTAAAACGTGATATTTTAATCATATTATGGATTACCGACGCGTGATTATTTGATGTCGCCTGTTATTTCATTATTAATCAAAATGAAATAACACAACTCTTAAATAAATAGATAACTTACTCAACAATAGCTTAATGTGACTTGAGACCAACTAACATGAGTGTTTGAGAACACTACACTACTGTATAAAATTACTGAACAGAAAATGGTAAAATAATGACGTAGATTAACACAGCAACAGGCATAAATATAGTTAAGTAACTAAATTTTTAATAATGAATTGTTAATCATTGCTATCTAATTGTACCTGTTTCCATCTCAAATTGTACAATGATAACTCACAGGGGGTTTATTATTTTCCTACAATTGACGAAAGTGTAAAAAGCCCCTTCCCCAATGTCCTCAATCCCTGAGTCCCCAAAAATCATTTCCTAATCCCAAAAGGCCAGTAACGCACTTGTAACGCCTCTGGTGTTCAGGTGTCTATGGGCGAAGCCGATTGCTTATATATCATCAGGAGATCCGTATGTTCGTTTACTGAGTTATCCCAAAAAAAAATAGTATGAGTTACTACTAATTTGCATTTAGTAAGTTCTAAACTTATTGCGAATTAGGTCACACATCCGATCTGTTTCATATAATGCTGAACATAATTATGCTGCCCACGTAGACCGCTACAATGAGCCTAGTCTACATAGACTTGGAGAGGTTATTGCCATAGAGTTGCATTACGACTCACGATCGATACGCCACTGGGCCTCATAGTTTAAAGATAGGTAACGCTGCTGTCCCTACAGTTCTATTCACATATGCTAGAACAAGGTCGTGGTGGCCCCGAGGTTTAAGACGCCTGCTTCTCATACATGAGAGTGCGGGTTCGAAACCTACCAATGTGATTTTTTCCGAGTTATATGTATGTACTTTCTAAGATTATTCAGACACCAGACACCACTGACAAACGGTGAAGGAAAACATCGGGGCTGGGCTTGTAATTTCTAATTATAAGTTTGTAATCGCCAAACCGCATTGAGCAAAAGAAGAGGTTTTGCTCAGCAGTGGGCATTTATAGGCTATTTGGTATGCAGGTACGAAAATAAAGATTGATTCGGCACACAAACAGTGGCTATTGGTTGGTTACAGAACTACCAAATAAAGAAGTAATAAGATGTTGTTAAAAAGCATACAATTTAATAACACAATAACTACTGTCTCTGTCGGTACACAATCAATATTTTTTTTTTTCATAATTACTAAATAGTTTGACTGACAGCACATAAACTTTTTAAATATTTTGTAATGTATTTTCTTTCTTGATTGGCAAACGAGTCTCCAATATGTTGTCGACAATAAAAAAATGTAATGTTAAAAATCTATTAATTGCACGAAGACAGCTTGAGGTACCTACTACATGGGTTTATGTGTAGGCGTATGTAATTAGGCTCAGTTTCAAGTTGAATGTTGAATTGTTTATTAGCATAACCAGATCTTTGTGTGGTTTAGATAGGCGGTAGGCATTTCTACCTTTATTTTTTTCCTTACTTTCTCTGATTAGTCAAAATAAAGGAACGAATTGTTTAACATCTTTTTAAGGATTAATCTAATGATTATCAAAACATAACATCTTTGGTATTTTTCCACAATTTACTAGACAGAGCATTATGTTTGCTACTGATAGCGACTTTCTTTTGCCCTATAAACATTATCGCACCGGACGACGGAAATTTCCTTCGCCTTGAACCAACTTACTTTAAATTATTTCTAAGTGGAATATTCAATTTAATAAAACTAAGAGTATTTATCTATTTGTACATACATATAACACATTTACTTATATCGTAAACGCGAAAGTTTTGAAGAAATGTAGGTAGATGTTTAGTATGTCATGAATTTTTCACGTAAAACCTATTCAACCGACTACTAACGTGTCATGTAAAATCGCAGATTTCGGTGAAAGTTGAATCGATTATTAAAATTATTATTTATAATTATGTAAGTGAAAGTTATGGAATATTTATTTATTTCAGATAAAATCACGTTTAGCCTGCCTCGTAAGGGGTGTTGGGTTCGATTCCCGGATCAGGCAAAGTACTATTGGGATTTTAAAAAATTCTGTAGTAGCACTGAGTCTGGAATTGTGCCCAGTATATGGCAATAGGTTCAACCCCTATTACATGAGACTCATAACATAAATAGTGAAATGTGGATGTTACATTGTACAGTAGTATATGCACCTCTGCCTACCATTTTGGGGATAAAAGGCGTGATGTTATGTTATGTACGTATATGTATGTATGTATTATGTTTAGACATTAGAACTCGGCTGCGTGGTAGTAGCATTACGTCTTTATAAATAAAATACACGAAACAAACAAGGCCTAACCCCTTCACACATATACCTAGTTAAGTATATAATTATTATACCCCCGTTACCAATTTTTTATGACCAAATAAGTATAATCTTCGCGTCATTATGTAAATATCAACATTGTTTAATGATAACATTTTTAATCGATGACCACATAGTCTGTTAATGTACTGTTACCAAGCGGGGTCGCGTCATGGGCGTTTTAGTATTTTTGTTCAATATAAATACACGCCAACCATACTTAATCGAAAATATATATAAAATATATACCTACTTAGATATAAAACTAAAAAAACATCTTGATATTTACAATACCTAGACACAAAAAGAAACGTTTTTTTGTACAACTAAAATATAATTAGAGCCAGTTTTTTTAATCTTTATTTTATAAATAAGTACAAGTTTTTTTTTTCTAAAAAGAACACAGAGGCAACTGAATCATACAAATATCTATCGTCTATGTATACTAGGCACCTTAGGTACGAATAGGCATTGCTATTAAACACTATCGTCAATATTCAGATACATTTATATTACCTATCTATACAAAAGTCGGAACAAGTCAAGGATTTCAAAAAAAAAAATACAATATAATACCCATTTGAATATGTATTAAGCGAAAATGCGAATGACAAGACAAGACCTGTGTAAAAGACTATTTCAGCTACAAACAAGAATCGCGATAAAGACTAGACTTTTGTTTTTTCTTTTGAGGGGCGAAAATCATCCAATGACTTCTCCCGCCCGGGTGAGGTGGGAGGGAGTGTCAGACTCTTACCCTATCTAGATCTAGATCTCTTAACCACCCCATTCCTACTCCTGCACTTCGAGCCGGAGCCCCGGCAACCCGTTAAGTCTTCCGCGGCTCCGTATCGGCGATAAAGACTAGGCTAGAATAAGGAAATTACAAGTGAACGTCATATCGAAGTCTATTCTGAACCGATAGGGCCAGTTCAAGGTCATCGCTGCTGAGTATTTCGCTACCAATGCGGTTTTAGAACATTATTTGAAATGGTTGGCTTAACCGCATTCATACAACCACGGAATAGCGCAATATTTGGTAATCATTACCATCTTTAAAACAAGGTTGCTAATCATAGAGTCTTGATGCAAAAAAATGCGGGGTAGGTATGTTTCACAATGTCTGAATAGTTTCTATTAATCTAATCGTCAGATAATTTGATGCGTAATGACGGTAAATTATCGTGAAATTCTCAAACAAACCCTGGGTAAATACTTTCAAAATCTTGGTTGCCTGTTGTAAAGCAAAAAATTCCTTATATTTTTTGGGCAAAAAGACATCAGAACAGTACCTAGGTACTTTACTAATATGGCATGGAACATCTGGCACAAACATCGGATGCCAATAACGCTACAAGCGACCTCTATTGAAATCAAAATTAGAAAGTGTTTCATCTAACCTTTGTGGGCCTCAAGTACAAGATTAATTTGCAATAATTCGCGCATGAGAATCGTTATTCTCACTACTAATGACCTTGGTTAATATTTGACTAAGGTCAAGGTCAGGCGTGGACATACATACATACATTCATACAATAAATGTAATTTTCCTCATAAGCAGAACAATAAATCTGGTAACTCAATTGGGACATGATATTATTTAAAAGTATTTGAATTAAAAACATATTTTCTTGTATTTACTTAAGCAGCTTTTAGATTACCTGTTTACCTAACTACAGTAAACGTAGCAAAACTATAATGCGTCATTGCGAGACTTGTCTCGTGCTAAAATCACGTTTGCCGAAAATAACTTATCAAGTCAACTGTATTAGATAAAAGATATGCTAGTACTTAAATACTGGTTGTATCAAGAAATAATAATACTTGTTAGGTACCTATACAAATGTATTATTAAACACAATTTATACTTGCACTTATTATGAAGAGAAAAGATTTGATTTGTCTGTTTGCATTGCACTGTATAGGCTCTGAAACTACTGGACCGATTTGAAAAATTCTTTCACCATAATAAAAAGCTTACACTTAAGGGAAAAACATAAGCCATATTTTGTCCTAATACAAAATCTGGACCTATTTGAGAGAAATTGTCTAAATTCCAAGCAAAAGAATATGCTAGCCGAAAGATAGTTTGTAAATAAACAAATCTATGTTTACTATATTCTAAGATAGATAAAATCTTAAAGAGTCAATTAGATATGTGACATATGTGTCACTATGTAAACAAACTATTTTACACTGACCTCTACTAGTTATTACATTGCATGATTGAAGGTCAAGGTGATTAAGTAAACAACATCTCAAGTCATGACATAATTAAGTTTTTTAATAACATTTGATGATATAATATCTGTAGTTTAAACAAAAATAACTTAGCCATGTTTGGCTATGCCGAAACTTAAAAACGGCAAAGAGGTTTAGCTAATTCTTCTTTAGTCTGTATTTAACTAAATCGCAAAGGAGGAAATCATATTTTTCTTATAATACTTATAATAAATATGTATAAAAAAAATATAAAACAACAAAAATAGGTAGGCGAAAACAGTGTGATGTTGATCATTATAATGCCTATAATATCATCATTAATTTGGTAGCCATAAGGATGTGTCTTCTGACCTGTTAAATAGTTACAGGATAAAATGAGGTGAATAGAACTCAGGGTGTGACTAGAGATGGAAGACGGGTGAATAAACATTAAGAAAATTTTCATAGTATCTATTCACCACATTCCCGTATCTACCCCCTCGAGTTCTATTCACCCCATTTTCCATAGTTACACATATCTCAGACTGCGGTCTTACTCTCTTCATCAAGCGTGAGGTAAACACCTCATGTATTCTAAATTCTTAGAACACTCATAAAATAAAATGAAGAATATTAACTAAGTATTAAAGTAACAGTTATAAGCATTGATAAAAATATCACAGAACGAATAAAAATATTTCATTATCACAAAATAGTTCCGTTTTCATATTTTTGTAAAGATAGTACCAACATTTTGATAACCCGACACAAGTAAATAATAATTATGTCATTATGATTTTTATCACAATCCTACATACAGAATGCTGTTGAAGTATATACTATGTTACAGAGAAAAGAAATGAATTGTTTTGGAGCATAAATTTAACTACATATACATAAAAAGGAGTCATCACAGGCAAAGATTTTGTTGTATTCCATCATACTAATACCTATTATTAATGTAGGTCCATTATTAGCAATATGTTTCCAAATATATAAAACATTACATAAAAATAATTTGCATACAAGCTAGTCCATTGCAAGTATTGATAAGAATGCCATTAAAATTGGTAGTTTTAGTAATTACAATTTTAGCATTAACTATAAACATCCTCTTTCTATTACTCCACAGGACATGTCGGTAATAAAACTTCTCCCTAAAAGATCTCTCGAGTATGTGTTACACTCATAAACTCACTATGATATGTTTTATTACCTATAAAAATTAATAGCAAATTGTGTTTTTAAGTTTGAACTGATATAGGTAGGCTTAGGTAGTGAAGACCTTCTACATTAAACAGTGTACATACAGTTGCTAGGTCAAGTTTTACTTGTATGTGAAGCTATATTATGTTAATTTAAAAACCTTTGCTCTCTGTTACCGGCAAAACAATAGTAAAATGATAATTAGACAAGTACCGACTGAGAATTCCGTAGGCCACGGTTGCCAACGGACTCGAGAGGGCGACGTAATCACAACGTAACCGCCCAGATGGGACTACTTTAAGTAATTAATAATTTAATCATCATTACACTCTCACATTACATGTATTAAAATAGTAACACAGTAATCGCAATTCATGTTCACCGTATATAATAGTATACATAGCGTTAATAGTTAATGCCCATACTCACACTGCGGAGATATGATATAAAATCCGATATTTGATTAACTTCCACAAATTCCTCCATGTTCAAAATTTACACGTAAACACAAAGTACTTCAAAATTACTATTTTAATATAAACGGTGCCTTGATATTACGTTATTTACTCAATGATCACATCAATGAAATGAATGAGACGGACGGTGAATGACTCTCACTCGCGAGCTGGCAGCTCTTTTGCATGATTGACGTTGACAGTTTTACGTGTGACATTTTATAGAATGACGTCATAAATATTGCCATAGGAAATATTAATTTGGTTGTGATCTTCCTCACGAGGTCTTTGGTTGTTTGTTGGTTTGTACCACCGTACAAGGACGTTGAAAAGTCCTTGGTTCGAATCATTGTAATATAAAATAATGTATGATAATTATAACGCACTGTAGGGGCTGCCATGTGTAGATGTGAACGACTGTGGCTTTAGAGTGCCGTTCGTGCCGTCATTTCATTTCACTGTAGTTGTGACTTACATCTGTGCTCTTTTTCATTTCCTTCATTCTTTCTTGAAGCTCATTCGCTCACTCACACTCAGTAACCAGTCGAACGAACGAAGAGGAACGGAATACATTCGCTCGGTCCTCGTTCCGTATAATTTTTTTAGTAAAACAAATTTTGTAGTGCTTTGTTCCAGTTGTATAAGTGTAATTTTAAGTGAATTTCTGATAAGAAAATCTATTATCATTAGATTAAGTAAATCCTTTGTAATATGTTTAATGTAAGTCGTCTGAGTTATATAGTAAGAATAATGTTTGAATAAAATTACCGACTTCTTTCGTAAAAGCTCGCAAGCCGGCAGCGAAATGCCATACAATAACATATTATCAACGACTGCAGGAATACTAACAACATGTGTAATAATATTTTTCCACGACGCACAAGTATTGGGTAATTTGGTGAATCGACCCAGTGATAGATATACTCTAGATGTATCTGGTTGCGCTTTGTATCATAAGCTATGTTCGCACTTGGATGATGATCTTGCAATACTATCCTGTGCTCTAAACGCGTCATATAACAAAACCCAAGTTTTAATAGTCTGCCAACACAAGCTGTGGAATCACCAAGCTGAACTTTTGGACAATGACTATGTGGAATACAAACTGAAGGAGCCATGTCAGGACGAGCCTGTAATAACAAATTGCCTTACTTCAAGTGGAATAAATGAATATAAGATAGATTGTGTACTGAAGAAGAAATCAAGTGTGAGGAATAAAAAATGTTGGAGGATGATAAACAAAATAGAATCTCTGGTATTCAATGACTGGCAGATCATAGGCAATTTCCTGAAAAACTGTTATGATGATATAGAAGGTCATACTTGTGGGAGAATTCCAATAAATCAAAGAAGTTTATCTCAAAAACAAACTTTAAAATGTTTGCAAGAAAAAGATGTGAACCCAAGACCTGAGTGTCAAGCGGAGATTGCTGCGCTTGAAGAGATGAAATATGATAATCTTCAGCTAGATAAAATCATATTTGCTGCATGCAATTTGGATCAGAAGAACTTCTGCCCCGATGAGGTACCTGGATCATGGCTGATGTACAAGTGTTTATTGCGGCATAAATATGAAAATGGTGACTATTCTTAGTGATCTTATTAACAATAAAATTATGCTTTTGTGAATCGAGAAGTCATAACTGAAAACAATAATTGTTTTCAATTAGCATTCATAATAAAACAATTGTGCTATTAATGATTGTTATCATACATAACATTTTTATCAAAACAATAATACAACAATTAGTAATGGGTAATTGGTAAGTTGATTTTATATGCAATAATTTTTTTTATTACAGGAATGAGAAAAAAGTGCCAAGATCAATTGTTTTATGACCAAAGAAGTATTGTGATGAATTATAGAATGAGCAAAGGGTTAGTGAAGTCTTGTAAAGAAGACATTAGGAAATATCATTGCCGAAAGGGTGTTGTGGATGATAAGGATGTAAGATTGGCACAAATTTTATTATGTTTAGAAAATGTATCTCGTAATGACAGCTCTAAATTAAGTAGTGAATGTACAGCAGAGATGATTGATCATAGAAAGATGCTGATGGATGACTACAGATTGTCACCAGAGTTAATGCAGAACTGTGCTAATGATATCACAATATTGTGCAAAGGTATCGAAGCTGGAGGTAGAACCATTCATTGTCTCATGGACCATGCTAGACCGAGAAAAAGGAAAGACAAAAGAATAAGTTCTGCATGTCAGAAATCCTTGGAAATATTGATCCAAGAAGCTGATCCTGGTGAAGATTGGAGAGTGGATCCAATATTACGCAGAGCCTGCAAACCTGTGGTTGACAGAGCTTGCAGAGAAGTAAGCTATGGAAATGGAAGAGTCATGTCATGCTTGATGGAAAAATTGGGAACAAATCTGATGACTAATGATTGTGAAGCTGCTTTGTTACAAATTCAATATTTTATATCCAGAGACTTTAAACTGGATCCTCAGCTATACAAGGCATGTAAATATGATGCAGTTACAGTATGTAAAGCTAAACTCCAGTGGGCTGATGCCAGCGAACACCAGTCTGAGAAGGACCCTCTTGTGTTACCATGCTTATACAACTATGCCTATAATCCAGATCTTAGAGGAAGGTTGAAACCTGGCTGTGAGACCCAAGTGAGAAGAGTAATGAGACAGAGAGCTATTAGTGTAGACCTTATGCCCGAAATTGAAGACTATTGTATGGATGATCTAATTAATCTGTGCTTCGAAAATACAGGCAAAGGAGAAGAAATATCATGTTTACAAAGTAAAATAAAGGAACTTGGACCAAAATGTAGAGAAATTGTTACAAATTTTACAGAAACCCAGAGTGGCCATATTGAATTAAATGCTGTAGTCAACATTAACTGCAGAGTACCTATTGAGAGGCTATGCTCGTCTGAACTGAAAAGCAAGAAAGAGGAGGATGATGTCATGGAATGTTTGATAAGTCATAAAAATGACCCTGAAATAAAGGCCAATGTTAACTGCAGAGCTGCTATAGAACATGAGCAATTGATCTCACTAAAGAATTATCGGTTTACAAGAAAATTCAAGAATGCTTGTAAATCTTATGTGGTTAGATTTTGTCCCAAAGCACAAACTAAAAGTCAGGTAGTCACATGTCTTAGTGAAATAGTCAGGAATGATACAATTTCAAAGAAAAAGCATACAATATTTAAGGATTGTCGCCAGCAGTTAAGGCAGCAGTTGTTCCAACAGAAAGAGAATATCGATTTGGATCCAGAACTGAAAGAAGCTTGTAAGAATGATTTACAGATGTACTGTGCCAATGTGCCACATGGGGAGTCAGCTGCTTTAGAGTGTCTGCAGACAGCCAGAGGAAAGTTATCTGATGAATGTAGAAAAGCCATATTTGTTGTAAGGAAGCAAGAGTTTTCTGACAATGCAGTTGACTATCATTTAATTACGAGTTGTAATGACATGATAGACTTGTATTGTCATAATACAGATGCGTCAAAAATTCTAGATTGTTTAAAGGTAATAATAATTTTAATTTGAACCATATGAATGGTTAAGAACTGATGAAGAAATGGTAACATGAGTTAAGAAGGTGTAATATGTAATATGCACTTAAAAATATATAAACTGTTATATTTCAGATTCACCGGCAGGAACTTCATTTCGATGAAAACTGCAAAGTGGTCATTGTTAATAGGATGATAGAACAGAATATGGATTACCGGTTTAATAACAATTTGCAGATAGCATGCAAAACGGATATCGCGAAATTTTGTTCAGATGTGATTGGTATAAAATCCATTTTTAAATTAGGTAGACATATTTACAAACTTTAGTAGTAGATTTTTTTATTTAAATTTGTAGGATGATATAGATGATGGCTTAAGATGACTGCAAAAGACATTTTGTTCTCAAAGTTGTAAGTAAACGGAATGTCATGCATTTTTTGTACTGCAGTGTGTTGTACTCATCATCATATTTTATTTTCATATTCATTTGCTTCGTTATTCTGTGGTCAGCTTATACTAATTTATTCACATGTTATTAATTACAGTCAAAGAACCACAAGATATGGAACTGCAAGGAAAAATGTTGTACTGCTTGAAAGAAAAGTTCAGGGAGTCAAAATTAACATCATCTTGTGAAAATGAACTGGCAAATGTGTTAAAAGAGCAAGCTCTGAATTACCGCTTGGATCCATTGCTTGGTAAATTGTGCAAAGCAGAAATACAGACAATTTGTCCTGTGCCAAATGACATTACAAACTCTGATGGACAGGTAAAGTAACATAATATTGGTGAATATGATTAAAATTTGCTGATTTCACAGACAATCTGTCAGTTAATTTTTTGTCTCCAAGGAATATTAATGAGTTACCTAGTTCAGTCTCTACAGTTTAAAATTATTCATGATTTTTTGTCGTCTACAATGACAATATCGCAGAAATATGCAGTTTAATAGAATAGAGAGCTGATTGTACTCAAATTTTCGCCTCCACAGGTAGAAGAATGCCTGAAAAATGCTCTCTTGAATCATAAAATAGTGTCGGCGGAATGTGCACATGAGGTGGCGCAGATTATAGAGGAAACTGAAGTCGATATTGAGGCGGATCCCTTATTGGAGAGAGCTTGTGCTATGGATCTGTTGACTTATTGTAAAGACCTTGAGCATGGTGCTGGAAGACGTAAGTTCAAACTAATCATAAACAATATCCTTTATTCAGTTAATATTTAATTCACAAGTTGTTATGTTTAAGTTTTCTGAATAAATATTAATTTGTAATTAATTTTTCCAGGTTTAAAATGTCTGAAGATTATTCTGAATGATAGTAATCGTAAATTAGAGGCTGAGTGTCAAAAAGCACTCTCCAGTAGATTAGAAATGTATAAACATGTGGCTGCTGTAAGTATCAATAAATTCAAACTATAATAAGAGACCTTATTTCTTGCTTTGACCTCATCACAGTATTTTATTGATTTCAGACTGAGAACTATCTCAGGCATAACTAGAGATTATTTTATTATCTCAATCTATCAAATATTATGTATAGTCAACATATTTTTTTTATTTAACTAATATTCCTTTTTTTGTTCCAGTTGAATGTGATAGAAAATTTTGGCGATATGTATAATGAAATATCATCATCACCATCTAAGAAATACTTTTTAATTGTAGGCATTTCAATTATAGGTTTAATTTTTATATGTGGACTATATTGTGGTAATTTGGCTAGGCAAGCTTTGTATGTTAAAAGGAAATAGATATTATAATATATAATTTAAATCAATAAAAATCTTTTAAAAATTTTAATATTTGTAGTTTTGATTTATTAAGTCCTGTGGTATAATATGGTGATATTACAAAATTATAACAGGAAGCCAGGCCAGCTGTATTCTATTTACAAACTAACAAAATGGAAGTGATAACTTAGGCTTGTTTATGATTATCAGTACATCCTGTTTAAATACTGCTTGGATTGCATTAATTTACTAGTACATTCCAGCATTCATATAATAAAGTCTGTTTATCAGTAAGTGTTATATTGTGATCCAGGAAGTTTTTAGGTTTACGAAATCAAATGAAACTTGCATTACATAGCTTCATCAAAATCCATTTCATCAAATTCTTCAATTGCTTCCTTTTTGACAGGCACTTTTTTAGCTTCTTTCTTTATTTCTACCTTGATCTCTCCCTTAGCAATCTTCTGACTTTCTTCAAAGTACTGATTAGGATGGTTGATGCCCAACCCCAGATCACAATGATGTACAGCATCAAAGTACTTGCTGCAAGCAATTTGGAAGTGTCCTTTCTTTGTCATGTCTATTATTTCTCCAATTGCTAAAACAATACAAATATTTTAAACCATTAAGTAATGTAACATAGGCTCATAGTAATTCAAATGAGTTTGCAAGTAAAAATACAAACCTTGAGCATCAAAACCATAGCCCTGCAGTCTATTCTTCAATATCCCTACATCGCAGTGCCTGTAAGGACATCCATGACAATCCCCTGGGCCAACAGTATTATTAATAATCTTCAAACAACTGAATGGAGAGTAATTCCTCTTACTACCCTCCTTACCATAGTTGTATCTTACATTATAAGCATACTGTTTCTCAAATTTATCCAATTCCATGATTTTTGTAAACTCTTCTCTCCAGAATCTGAGAGAATCTTCCAATGTTACACCTATTCCTTTGAGGAATAGTCCATACTGCAGCCTACCCCCATGTTTGAGATGATGGGCAACTCTCAGTTGATCATGGAGCTGCCGCATACACAGTGGGAATGATTTCACAGCCAATGAGTCCAGAGTCTCTATAGGTATTACAGCCTTTGCATCACTATAGTCATTTCCTGAATAAGATTGGTGCAATCCTTTCAACAGGGACACTAATCGCTCATCCTGTTCAATTTCCCCAAGGTGGTGACAGGCCACAGCCAAACTTTGTTTCAATTGAGTTCTATACTGAGCAGAGAGCACAGATATGAAATCTTTATGAGGTATGTAAGCATAACCACCACTCAAATACACTTTCCTCATCTTTACTAGATCTAATACTTCAAAAAATTTAACTTTGAAGAACTTCATATTGTCAATGTTCGAGTGTGGAGTGGACTCCCTTATAAAATGTATAATTTCACTTTTTTCTTCATCACTGATGTTAGTGTAGCACAGATTGTTTAGTTTGAAGAATGTTTCAACAGCTTCACCCCTCATTGTCGCAAACCTCATTTTGAATAGTTCTAATTCTCTTGCAATGAACCACCGTCGTAATTCTTCAGTTCTGCAGTAAGCGAGTCGTAGAATGAAGTGTGCAATGTGGTCTTTACGTCTCGCCTGCAAATCAGCTTCAGTAGTGGCACAAGATGATTTTTCGCAAAGCTTGGCATAATACTTTAGACCTTGAGTTTTAAGTTCACCAATAACGTAATCTGTCCATTCTTCTGAGTACAATCGCAGACCTTTAAGTGTAGTTGCTGTGGCTAAAGTTCTCAACAAAGTCACTCTTTCTAAAGCTAAAGTTTCAAACTCTTGCAGTGTTATATCTTCAGTAGGTGGTATCTTGTACATTTGTAGGTCATGCGGATAAGTCTCTACGAGACTTCCCGTCAATGGGAGTTTAGTAGACTTTCTTCTAATATTCAAATCCATTATGTTTTTACTAAAAACATTTGCTTCAACGAGAACACAACATGAACAAGTTGACACAAATAATTCGCGCCAAACTTTGACATTTTGTCATTATTTATTTGAGTCATTGTCACACTAACGTTTTTTTATTTTCAACATAGATATTGGACCTTTGGATTGAAAATTGGAATTATTATAAGTAATCATTTTTCATTTTCTCATAGTACTAACTACTTTTATTTATACAACGATAAATTGAACTATTATTATATTTATTATAAGTTTCAGTCTAAAGTTTCAAATGAGCTATAGTTAGTTTTTAACAAATAATAAAGACCTTGGCCGGGCAGAAAGACTAGCTCAAATCTAAATGTAACGGGTTTATGGGTGTGAAGTTGTGACGTTAATAATAAGATTGGGTTGAAAAATATAAAGAATTGAATTGCAAAATAACCATGCTACTCAATTTTCTGCACGAAATGGAAAAAACGTGACACGCATGCTTCTTTATGCACACTGTTTCCGGTTTTCCACTTCGTATCTATCGTCTCTACCTCTCCCCCCTCCTTTCATAATTTGTCAATCTGTCAAGTTGAGTAAACTCAATAAAATCGAATTTTATTTATATTTTGAATTAGTTTCTACAGAGGAAATAATAAATTATGTTTAACTTTACATCAAAGACATAGAATAGGGCCATTAGTAATATATTGGTACGGGTTTAAAGTATAATTGGATTATAAAATGGTATCGAACAAGATGCAGTCGTCATTGGACGATTTAGTTCAATATACACAGCTTTTTAAGCCGGTGCCAACTGTTCTGCAAGGGACTGTGCTGCCTTTTTTGATAATATACCCAATTGTGTTTTATTCGTGGATCGTTGTGTATGGATTCGAGGAAAATGTGGAGGCTGGATTCGTCAGTGTTGCGGTCGTCGCAGCTATACAAATTCTCGTTTGTCTCTGTTGCTACTGGAGCGTACACATTCAATGCTTCTTGTCGTGTTCTTCTGTAAGTATTTCATTGTTTTATACCTATCAAATTGGCTGTTGTCAGTCATTTTCCTTATCTTTGGCGTTTTATAATGATTATGTTATTGATGTTTCATTTTTAGGTTAAAGACCCAATCCAGGCGGAGATAGTCAAAGTAGTACCTACATCGAATAATGGATTTTCTGAAATTGTTAAGCTTCATCACACCAAGGTATGTTGTTGAGAATTTATGTATAATAATATGATATGATTCAGTTCTGTAGTGTCTCACCATCTTTTAGTTTTTCTTTTTAATATAATATGGATAACATAGTGGTTCACATTTGGAAATCCGTAACTATTCATATAAATCTAACCTGCAATTCACGATAATTTTCGATGAAATATTTAAGTACCCAGTGTTTTTACAGTCAACTACAAAAGGCAGTATACATCCAGATGTGTGGTTTATATTTCAAAAAAGCAAGTACATTTATGATTGGGACAAAAAATCTTTTCATACCATTGAGTTCCCAATCAACAAGACTTATGAGGAGTACATGGAATCTAAGGGATATTTGGATGATGAAGCCATTGATATCGCTGAAAAAGAGTTTGGAAAGAATGAAATGATTATGGTAAGTGTTTTTAATCTGTTTATTTCTATAAAAAACTTAAATAACAACTATGACTTAAATAAAATTAAAACTAAATATTACTAAATTCAATATAATACAACTTAAGATAAACAAACTATTTATAAGGCATCGTTTTTAATCTACTTCATATTAACCTTAGTGATGATTGTCATGTTTGAGTGGTTTACAAGAATGTAGATTGCTGCAAGACACAATGTAACTTGCACTTATAATTATGAAGTAGTTTGAAGTACATTATTATTATTACTAAAGTCTATTAAGAATGCCAATCTCCCATTCTCCAGATCGTAATTCCAATTTTATTTTGACTTAAACACATTATCTACAAAACAGCCATTTAATAATTTTTCCATGTCACTGTGATGACTGAATTTGTATCTTTAACTTCTTTCGTAGACTGTCTTATTGGCCAAGTGGTCGAAAGTGCAACTACCAAGCAAGGGGTTGATTGTTGAAGGCAAAGTATTACAGGGTTTTTAAAAAAAATCTTAGTAGTAGAACGGAGTCTGGAAATGTGCCCGGTAATTATGGTAATAGGCTCAGCCCTATTGCATGGGACTCATAACATAAAATAGTAAAAAGTGGGTGTTACATTGTACTGTGTTGTAATATGCACCTCTGCCTATCCCATCGGGGATAAAAGGCGTGATGTTATTTTATTTTATGTTCTTTCATATTTTAATAATCATGTTTCGGTCAAAATAGAAATGGTTCGGGAAATTACAAATATCAAAACAAGAAACATCAAATTGGAAAATGTGTAAAATACAGTTATTTGAAATGCAGGTAAGAAAATAGAGGTTGATACAGTATGGACACAGTAACCATTGTTACACTAAATAATAATTATAGTTTTTAATGAAGTCATAACTTATGTAACCATCGGTCGACTCGCTAGCTAAACAATAATATACTGAATCAATCTCCATTTTCATACTTCTATATTAAATACCATTTCAAATATATATTTTCTATTTTCTTCTACTGAACATTGTTTGATATTACCCAAAACAATTAGAAAAAATAATGAAAGTCATCTTCATATCTTTCATGATTTCATAATATTATTTTAATAGGTATTGTCTTTGGAAGGCTATAGTCACATTGTCTTTTGTCAGCCAACAATACAGTTAGACAGGAGTCCAACTTCTAATTAAATTAAATGCATGCCTGAAAGTGCAACCGGTTAATTGGATGATATGTGCAAGAAATATTCATGTTGGTTTTTAAGACGAAACACCCTTGCCGAGGAAAATTTTTATAACTAATTCGCTATAAAAAATATGCACAAACTTTCCTCAACTAGGTTTTAACCCTTGGTCTCCCGGAATTCAGATTAAAGCGAGACAGAATGTATTTTCTATTGTGTCTTATCTTATATTAATTATACCGGCAATTAAGTGGGTAATTCATAACTGGTCTTAATTTATCTATCTACAAATTAACGTAAATTCTTCGTAGTAGTAAGTAGGACCTTATGACTAAAGACTACAATGATTGTTTCAGGTTGTCCCTGAGTTCATGGAACTGTTCAAAGAACGAGCAACGGCTCCATTTTTTGTGTTCCAAGTATTTTGCGTCGCATTGTGGTGCCTAGACAAGTACTGGTACTACTCCATATTCACCCTAGTGATGCTTGTCATGTTCGAGTGCACCTTAGTACAGCAACAACTAAGAAACATGGCCGAAATCCGCAAGATGGGGAACAAACCTTACAATATTAATGTTTATAGAAACAGAAGATGGCGCCAAATAATGAGCGATCAGCTCCTACCAGGCGATGTTGTCTCTCTCATACGGTCCACTAACGAGAACCTAGTACCTTGTGACATTGTCCTTCTCAGAGGCTCCTGTATAGTTGATGAGTCCATGTTAACTGGTGAAAGTGTTCCCCAAATGAAGGAAGCTGTGGATAATGAAAAGAATTTGAAACAACAGCTAGATCCTGAGGGAGAAGGCAAACTGCACATGCTTTTTGGTGGCACTAAGATCGTCCAACATTCGTCGCCTAACAAAAACACTTCGTCCGCACTCAAGGCTCCCGACAATGGCTGCATCGGATATGTTATCCGCAACGGTTTTAACACATCACAAGGCAAACTTCTAAGAACTATTTTATTTGGTGTGAAGAGAGTTACAGCAAACAATCTGGAGACATTTGGATTCATTCTTTTCTTGCTTATCTTCGCAATTGCCGCCGCAGCATATGTTTGGATCAAGGGCTGTGAGGATCCTGAGAGGAACAGATACAAACTGTTTTTAGAATGCACTTTGATTTTGACCTCAGTTGTACCACCAGAACTGCCTATAGAGTTGTCCCTAGCTGTGAACACATCACTATTATCATTGTCCAAGTTAGCAGTATTTTGTACAGAACCTTTCAGGATACCATTTGCAGGAAAAGTAGAAATTTGCTGTTTTGATAAGACTGGTACACTTACGAGTGATAATTTAGTTGTAGAAGGTGTGGCCGGTATAGAGGACCACAAAGATGCTACAGTCATTCCATTATCTCAAGCACCCATGGAGACTATACAAGTGCTGGCCTCTTGTCATTCTCTAGTACAACTGGACGATGGCGTGGTTGGAGACCCATTGGAGAAAGCGACTCTGAAAGCTGCAGAGTGGAACCTGACCAAAGGAGATGCTGTTGTGCCAAAGAAAGGAAAGTCACCTGGCCTGAAGATAGTTCACAGAAATCACTTCTCAAGTGCCCTTAAGCGAATGTCAGTGATAGCAGGCTACCAAGTCAATGAGCGAGGGTTCATAGAAACTCATTACATAAGCAGCGTGAAGGGTGCGCCTGAAACTGTGAAGACCATGCTCAAAGAGGTTCCTAGTCACTACGACCACGTCTACCTAACTCTGTCGCGGCGAGGGGCTCGAGTGCTGGCGTTAGGTTATAGGAATTTAGGCAAATTAAGTTCTCAACAAATTAGGGACATGTCCCGCGAAGGTATAGAATCTGATTTGACATTTGTTGGCTTTGTAATTATTTCGTGTCCTTTGAAGAGTGATTCTAAGAAAGCGATATCAGAAATTGTGAATGCTTCTCATTCTGTGGTGATGATAACTGGGGATAATCCTTTGACAGCATGTCACGTGGCTAAGGAGTTAAAGTTTACTCAAAAGGAGGAGGTTCTGATATTAACTGAGAATGAGAGTAAGTGGGGCTGGACATCGATAGATGAGGAAGTGAATCTACCCGTGAATCCGTTTAAGACGTCTAAACAGTTGACTTCGAAGTTCGATTTGTGTATAACAGGAGAAGGTTTGACATTCCTAAATGAGAATCATCACAAATTTCTGTTGGAGCTAATGCCGCATATCAAGGTGTTCGCTAGATTCGCGCCAAAACAGAAGGAGTTTGTCGTGGTCACGTTGAAGTCGCTCGGCTACGTGACGCTCATGTGTGGTGACGGTACAAACGACGTGGGAGCACTGAAACATGCTGACGTGAGTACTGCCATCTTTTACATGCTTC